AATCTGAACTGAACTGAAAATTTTCAGATTGAATTTTTTGCAATCTGAAACTGAATCAAAGTTGATCTGAACTGAAAATTTTCTGATTAATTTGAACTGTTCAGAGTTTTAGCACTTCTTCAAAAATAGAAGAATTTATCTATACTTTAGTATTTGTATAGAAAGCTATGCTAAATTAATTTATAAAAGAAACTTTAGTCATTTTATATTATTGATAACCTATAGTTTAAGTTTATCGGTTCCTATTGCATTAGTATTAAGGAGGATCATTATTCTAGTTTTATCTTTTTTTTGATCAAAAATAAGATCTAATAATAGTGTTTAATTAAGAAATATTCAGTAGAAAAACCTGTTTCATTAATATTATATACTTATTTAGAAAGATATCAAGTTAAATTCTGCATAATTTCATTTATTTTTCTAGAAGTAATTCTAAGAGAGCACTTCTCATTTCTTTATATATATGATGTCTTTAAATATTATTAATATATTTAATTGCAAATATTTTAATAAGTTGAAATTCTAATTATTATATTTAAAATATAATTAATTAAAATTAAAAGATATATTTAATTATTATTATTAAAATTAATAAATAATTCAGAAGCAAATATTAGAAAAGATGAAATATAACTTAAGCAAATTATATTTTGCTTTTCTTAAATTTTTCCAATCATCTGTTTGAAAAAATCAAGTTATTTTTCTGTATGTTAAATACTCAAGCAAAACCTTAGCTTTTCCTTTAATTAATAAATTAGTTAAAGTGATTTCCTCAACTATTATATTTTTTACCTAAAGGCTTATAGTATTTCTAATAATATTAAAAATAATAACTTCTCTATATCTATATTTTAGAGAATCTAAAAGATGTAATAAATTTTAAAATTATAAAAAAAAAAATACTTATTTAAATATTTTATTTGAAACTTTAGCATTAGCTACAGCTTTTCACTTATCTTTTATTTTTTAAAATCTTCAATATAGTACTTTGATCAATTGTTAAATCTAAATGTTTTTCATTAAAATATACTGCAACTTTATAATACTTTTATTTTTATTAGCATCTGACTATTCATATATTTGACATCTGAAGTTATCACTAATAGCTAAATGATTCATTTTAAACTTTTAAGAGGAGGAGTTATAATAATAATAATAAAAATATATAACATAAAGTATAATAAAAAAAATAACTAACAAAAAATCTAAAAAGAAATACTGTCAAGTGACTGATAAATTACAACAACAAAAATCAAAAAAAATGTATTTATAAGTAGTCAACAAAATCCAATAAAAATAGGAGAACTTTTTGGTAAATAATTCAAAACTTCATTTGAAAAAGATCTAGTTATATAAAACTTTTTCAATTAATATTTATATTAAAAAATTATTATTAAATTTGATAATTATTTTTTTAGTATTTTGCATAACAGAAAGAAAGTGATCAAGTTTGGCTATAAGTTCTCAATATAAGATATTTATATATTATTTTAACCTATATTTAATTAATTATTTATATATAAATACAATCATCCCCTTCTATAGTCACCTCCTATATAATTACATCATATAATTCTCTTATTATAAACACATATTTCATAAAAATTAATACCTATTAATGCTATATAAAAAAAACCTCTTTATAATCACAGTATTTTTATAGTCACATTTTTTTAGAACTAATACTTAATAACAACATATAAAAATTCTTTATATGATAACTTTTTATTATAATCCTACTTTTTATTTTTAGTCTTAAGAGGTATGATTACAAAAGGGATGACTGTATATATATATATTTTTTTTAGAATCCTCAACTACTAATATATTTTCTTCCAATTCTCAATCATCTGCTATTTCAAACCAATTTATTTCTTCTGAAATATAATATTCTAACATATAACTATTATAATAATCTTTTTATTACTACCTTTTTCCTTTTTATTATTCTTTCAAATAAATATTTTATCAAATTATTATCTCTCTTTTGCCATTTTTCCTTTTCTTTTATAATTTTTTTTATCCTTTTTTATCTTATTTTAATTTTTTTTTTTTATAATTTTTTTTTGAATTATCATTAAAAAAAAACCTAAATGAAGCTTATTATTTCTATATAGTATTTAGAATCAACTGTTATAATTAAACTATATCTGATCAAGAGCAAACGTTTTATTTTAATTTATATTAAAAGTTTATTAATAAATTGTTTTAAATTTTGTATTTACAATTATTTAAAATTTATTTGTTTTTTAAATGAATAAATTTAAATACTTTATTATTTGATATAAAAAAAGATCAGTCTAAGTCGTAGTTAAAATTGAATGCAAGAACTAAACATCTTTAATAATCAATTGATAAAAATTAATTTTATTACTAATTAAATTTCATTAATTTGTGATTAATCAGAATTCAATAAAAATAATATATACTAAAGATGGTGTTGTAATATTATGATGCTTATTTATCACCTATTGCAACTTAAATTTTAATAATGTTGTAATTTGTTATAATATTGTAATACTTATTTGTCATTTGTTACAACTAATTAAGATGTCATCTTTAATATATACATTACAGATTATGTGATGATAATGATTATAATCAATTGTGATTATAAAGAGGTAAATTAACTAAGTTAAAGTCTATTTCACAAAATCAGATTCTTATATTGAGATATGATTATATATAATGTGATTATATGAAGGTTTAACTGTAATATATTAAAGATAGTTTATAAAAATAATAATTATACTACTTTTAATGATTTAATTCCTATATATTAGTAGTTTATAAAAAAGATTATTTCTTTCAAATTAGACAGTATGAAGTAATTATTTATATGAATATATCTAAGAGAAACTTAAAAAAAAAAGTTAATAAACGTTTTAGAGAAACACACTTATCTTTACAAAACTTAACTTTTTAAATTCTAACTCTTAATTCTAAAAAAATCTGATATAAGAATGCCATTCCTAAAAAAAGAAAGAGGAAAAAGAAAGAAGGAGAGGAAAAGTAGAAAAGAAGAAAAGAGGAAATACAAAAAAAAAAATCTTTTAAAAAAATTAAATTTTAGATGTAAACTAGATTAGCTCAGAGTAGTTGATCATTTTAATTTTTTGTACATATGATTAAAAGATGATAGGCTTAATATTTTATATAATATATATATATATGATCTAGCTGATTTTTTTATAAATTTACTCTTTATATTAATGCATATTTTTTGTTTAATTTTGAAGAGAATGCATTTATAAAGAGTTAACTGTATCTCTTAAACTATAAATATAAAATTGTTTTTAAAATATTTTGATATCTAATACTTATAAATAAATGAAATAAAATTTTTAGATTTATCATATTATGATATATCTACTGGTAGTATTTTTAAACTTTTAAAATTAATAATTATCAATATATATTAATTTTTCAATTTTAATTTTAAAAAAAATTTATTATCTAATAATTATAAAAATATAAAATTTAGTTTATTAGATTCATCATATTAAAACTTATTAAATGATAATATTTTTTATTTCTAAGATTGATAGATAGTAAGATATATAGGTTTAAAATTTTAATTTTTTTATAATAATTTATTTATTTATCTTTAAAAAACCACTAGATAAATTACTTTTTTTTTTGAATTTTTACTTAAAAAACATCATAAAATTTATTAAAAATATTAATTTTTTTAATAATATATTTTAAAAATAATTAAAAATTATTGTAATTAATAAATAAAATTGCTTGCAAATTTATAAGTAAAATAATTAAAGGGATAAAAAGAATTTGATTATTATCATTTAAATAATTAATTCTATAATAAACTACAAAAATTGTTTTGATTTTTAGTTTAAATATTATAAAGTTATTATAAATTTTTAATATTTTAAATAAAACTTTATTTTAAACAATTATATATGAAATATTTAACTTTATAATATTTATATAAATACAATTTTTTACTTAAAATTATTAGTTTTCATATTTGTATTTCATTTAAAAATTTAATATAGATTAATTAATAACATAACCAAATATATATATATAACTATTTAATATAATGTTAAATTTTAAAAACATATTAATAATTTTAAAAGAAATTTTTTTCAAAAATTTATTTCTAAAAGCAATAAAATTTCTACAACAATTGTAATAAGAAAGAGTTCCATTTTTAATTAATATCAATTTTGTGAAAAAAAAAATTATACAGAAAAGAAAATTTATTTGCGAAACAACAAAATAACTTTTCCTTAATTGATATCAACTGAAGGATGTCGGCAGATCAGAACTGCAATTAATACATTCGATTCATTTTTTATTGATTAAAGTTACAAAAAAAAAAAAAAACGTGATTCAATTATTTTTAGTTTGTAGTATAATAGTTAAATAAATTGTTCATATTTAAAAATAAATTAATTTATAAATAACTAGCTTTTTAAACGTTGAACTTAAAAAACTCGAATCGCATCATCCATTATTTGATCCAGTTCCTAAAAAGAAAGGTAAGTAAAAGTATTAATTAAAGAAAACCAAATAAAATAGATAATTTGATTTTGATATTTACCTTTTCTAATTTATCAAGTTCATCATTAACGCTTGCAAATACAGCTTTGATTTCATCTCTAATTTCTGTAGGTTTAATTTGTTCTAAAATCTTCTCTGGATCATCACTTAAATGCCATCCACTTCTACGCCTTTCTTTTAACTCTAACATATTAACACCTGATCTTACTAAAATCAATAGTTCTTGTAAACCAAAATCATCTGTTAGTATCCAATCACTTTCTGAGGATACTGAGAGAGAAGGTTTAATGAGCGTTGATGAAGAAGATTCGGAAGTGGCCGATAAAACGGAAGCAGAACTTGGTTTGCGTCCATGTTTATCTGACGTTGCATCAGCATAATCTGGATCAGAATCTACAGAACCATTCGATTGAATTATCGATTTATTATCCGCAACGGTTTTACCCGATAAATGTTTCTTCGTAATCCGTTTATCATTCTTAATTGCATCACTACCATATTGACCAGTTCTAACCTTATTTAATACAAGTTCTATTCTATCTTCCATTGCCTGTGATGCCCTCACGTCATTGTTATGAACTTTTTCAACCATCTTTTCTAAAATATCCACATCTTGAGTAGTGCTTCTCCTGTATTGTTCCTTTTTATTAATAGACAAAGGTGCAACACCTTCCAGCTCATTAGATGATGGGTCTAAATTTTCCTTGGACAATTCCAATTCAACTGGCACATTCAAACTTTCATCATCACCCCAAATATCTTCAATGATATCACTAATATCGATAACCTCACCATCAGCTGGAATAAAAGAATATCGTACCTTGGATCCGAATATTCTAGAACTTCTAATAGAACCAATGTTTGTAAGAATGTCCACACCAGTCTCATTTTTGTTTGCAGAAATAATTGATTTTTGTTTGGCTCGACTATATTCACGTTGTTGTTCTATTAATTGTTTCTTAGATAAGACTTCACTATTTTCAACACCTAAATATTCACTATTAAAATTCGAACTTTGTATTGATGGTGGTGGATCTTTTACTTGAACTTGAGTAATTCGGTTTATTTCAGAAACCGAAGGCATTGAACGTTGCTGACGATCTTCAGGTCGCAAAAGTCGTAAAACAAATATAGGTTCATCGGGACGATAATCCAATGCTAATGATGAATTGGAGTCCAAAGAATCAATCGATAAATGACGAAAATTTGGTAATGAAGGATATACTGAAACTATGTTTATGTTAGGTTTTAATAATTTTTCTAATAAAAAATTTTTTTTTTAAAGAAAAAGATAATTAATTAAAAGATTCATTAACATCTGAAAGCATAAAGTACATCAAAGATTTCACATACCTTCACCATCAACAATAACCATAAGACTGTAACGAGGCTTTCCATTATCATTTTCTGATATTTGTTCACCATCATCAACCATACCATCAAGAATTCCAAACTTTTCCATGGCTTTTTCTAATACATCACTAATGATAGCAGTTCCTGTCACAGTTACAGTTTTCTCTTTAGGTTTTCCTTCTTCTCTCGAACGTCTTCGTGCAGCTTTGTCAGCGATATGTTTTGGCACAGACAGAGAATCTCTTGGAACAGTTCCTTTTGCACGTAAATGAGCGGGTAAATCGTCTGCGTATATTAAAACACGTACACGTAATTTCTTTTCACTCAGAGATCGACTATTTCTCTTTGCTTTTTTATTCAAATAGAAGGTGACATTATTTTTGTCATCATGTAATCCTAGGCCTTTTATTGCTGTATGGGTGGAAATATTTGAAGAAACTGACGAGATTGAACTTCTTCTTATAGTTGGTAATGGAACTAAGTGTGAAGAATTTAACGATTGGAATATCCCGAGGGGATGATCGTGAGGCATTAAATGAATAATATCTAAGTTGTGATTTAGCAATTTAGTTAGTAATGAAGTTGAGAAGATTTTCGAAGCGTATTAAATAAAACACAAACCTCCGTCAACTTCTTTAATTGTAATAAAATAATCGTCCCAGTTATCCTCACTATCTAATTTGAATCGGGATAATGCTTGTTTGATAAGATCAGAGGCCGTTGTAGTTTGATTTAACAATACAATCTTAAATTCAACTTTCGATTGAATATTTTGGCCTACAAAAATACGAAGTACATTATACATGGAATTCGAAGGTGTGGCGGGCGTGGCAGGTGTCGTCGATACCGAGCTATCAGATTGAGTATATTCTTTCACTTGTATAGGTGATGGGACTATCCTGTTTTGACCTTGTGATCGGTCTTGCGTAGGTCGAATAAGACCGGTACCTTGTTGCATTTTGCTTTTTTGTGGATCACGTTGAGGTCCTTCTGGACCTTGGTGATATCCAGATTGTTGAAATTGTTGCTGTTGTCCTTGCTGCATTTGATTAGGTAATCCATACAATTGTTGTTGAATATTTTGTGTTTGTGGAGGCGGTTGAGGACGAATTTTCATCCGCATACCCTGTCCTTGAATTTGAGGACGTTGTTGCTGATTTGCAGTGAAACCCACTTTCGGTTGAATTTGTGACTGATCTGTCTGCTGCTGAGGTGGTCTAATTGGTTGATTTACATAATTGGATCTAACGGCAGTCGAGGATGTGACAGGGGAATTTTGAGAAGACGACGACATTTGCTTGGCAGGTTCATTCTTCTTTTTTCTTTTAAAGAAATTCATGAACCCCTTTTCTTTCTTTTTTTCATCTTTTTTGCCCTTTTTCTTCTCTTCCGCAACCTCTGCTAATATACTCTTATTATATTCTTCAAGAGTTGTGGGCACTTTAATACTATCACTACTTTCATTCCTTCCGAAAAAGCCTCCTTGCTTAGGTCTACGAACTGCTTCGTCGTCATCAGAGAAATCAATAAAGTCACTGCCTAACTGAGGAGTCAAAGTCATTTTTATAGTATCGGATGATTCTTTAATGCCATCTATATTTAGTTTTGCCGTTGGTTTTATGCCCTCCAAACTTGGTTGTATTGAAGCTTCTTTGGGTGAAGTATTGTTATTAATCATTACATTATCAGGTTGTTTATCAAGACTTATTTCCCCTGGACCTGATGTATTTGTTGATTTTGTTATTTCTTTTGACGAGTTAATGTCAATCATCCCATCTCCATCTCCAGTTTGTTTATCAGGACTTTGATCATCACCTGCACTTTGATTCATTTTTTGTGATCCATTTAATACTTGTTGTTCTATCGGTAATTCATTTTGATTAACATCAGGTTCCGATTCGACATTGTCACCATTTTGCGCTCGAACTTCCGCTATTTGACCTGTAGTATTTGTTGCGATTGAAATGTCTTGTGTAATGATTGAATTCGAACTTGTATTTTCTCCACCTTCAACAACATCCTGATTATCTGAAACTTCCATCTCATCATGTTCATCAATTTTAACTACTTGATCTCCCTCATCTTGTTCCGTTGTGGGTTCATTAATTTCATCATATTGTTCCTCTTCTTCAACTTCGAGATATTCACCATCTTCAAAATCTTCGAAATCCTCATCATCATAATACTCCTCCTCTTCTTCTGCTACAACAAATATGGGTGAATTGAACAAAACACTTTTTCCTTGTGATTTCTTTTGAGCAACAAGATTCAAATCCTCTTCCGTGTTATTAAGTGAAGAAGATAACTGAAAGAAACAGGATTGTTTTTCACTGGGTTAGCAAAGGAACACATGTACGCATCATTTTTTTTTTTTTTAAATGTAAATGATGGCTTACGTTAACATTACGATGCTTATTTAATCTCGCAAGTCTTTCATACGGAGTCTACGAAAAAGATAAGCATGCGTGTGTTAGAATATCGTACATTCATTTAACCACCCCAAGTTTGAATAAAAAAAGAAATATCCTACTTCAATATTTTCTGCTGGTATATAACCAACTTTTGCAGTCTTTAAAACTTTAACCAACCACCAGTAGCTATTCGAATCATCCAATAAGGTTAATGAATCCCCTTTATCCACGCTAGCCTGACCTTCAACGGTCTCCTGAAAGGTATGTAAAGCGTAAACTAGGTTAAAATTAATATCTTCGTCAGGAATTGAAGGGGAAGAAGATATATCTTCATCTTCGTCCAAATCAATGCGATTGGTGTAAGTATCATTTCCTTCTACTGAACTATTATCGTCGGAATCAACCTCGTTATTACGGATTTTTTGTGTCGATGATTTATTGTTAACTCTCTGACCTTTTGCCGCGGCTTCAGTATCTATAGAAAGGTTATGTTGCCTGATCATCCTTTCTGATTGATTTTCTCTTACGAGATCAATTTTAATTAAAAAATGATTTTTTTTTATTTTTTTTTTGTCTTTCTAATTTATATAAATTAAGAATGATTTATTTTCAATTCGGTTTCATCGTCTAAGTGAAAAAAAAAAAACTCGAGAATTTTTTATTCTACAAAATAAAAGAGGAAAAGAAAAAAAGTTGCACTGCGAGCTTCATAAAAGATTTTTATTTTTTTCTTACAAAGAGAGTTTGAGGCAAGATTTATATAGGTACGTACACGTATTTAAATATTTGTATATTACGAAAGAGAGGGCGAAGGGGTGTGAAGAGGAATTGAAAAGTAAAAAAAAAAAAGCCGTTTTTCAGATCCTTTCAGTGAAAAGTAATTAAAATAATATTGGTCATATTAGAAAAAGCAGATCCTCCTGTTTAACGCAAAAAATTTAAATTGTAAGTTGACATTTTGTTTAGGGCATTGCTAATATTGTTAATGATTGACAACTATTTTTATGCGTGACATACATCTTGAACAAAAACGTGTGGGTACATGCGGTACATATAAATTTTATAATATTTGGAGATTCCAGGAGGAACCAATCAATCTTCATGGACTAACATTTTCCACGTGTGAATTGTTTCGAGTTTATTTAGTAGAGGAAATGAGATAAAAGTAAATATGAGGAAACGATCATAGTAAGAAAGAAATGAAGAGAATGTGAAAGAGGTAAGAAGGTTGGTATAAATTAGAAAGAAAAGAAAAAAAAAAAAAGAACCATATGCAAAATTTGACCAAGCAAGAACATTGATAGAAGAGAAGAAATTTTGGAATATTATTTTTACGATTAGAGACGCAGATCATTTCTAAATATTAATCAACTAATGATGATGCGTCAACAGACACAAACGCATCAATAATTAAGATGTTTTTTTGTATAGTGTGATGTTTGACGAAACTAAAATTTGACAAAACTAGTTTTTTTTTATAATTGACGAAAAGTATTTATTTAATTTTATTTTGTAATTGTAAATCTGCAAGTTTCAAAAGAAGGTTATGCAAAATTAATTATTTGCAAGGCACATAAAAGTTGCCTTAACAAGTTTTTCATTCGTCAAAATTCAATTTAGGAATTATTCACGGGCAAATTTATCCTAGTATCCGGGTTTAAGGTTATAATCCTAACCGTCATGTATAAATAATTTTTTTTAAAGTACCTATCACGTGATAAATTCAGTTGCGAGGTACATGATACATCTACTTTTTACGGTAAAAATATCCCACACTTCGTATTATTTATATCGGGTAATCCTTCATCTAACATCTCATCAGAAATGTCTGATGTTTGATGTTCGAACCGATTATCCGAACCAAAGTTCCAAAACACACAAATTTTCTTTGAATAAAAAGTCTGCCGAATTTCGCATTCCGCATTAGTTATACTTTTTTTAAAAAAATCTGTGCACAAGTATAAAGATGATTTTAAAAATATTTACATGTCAAGTTTTTAAAGTTGTCTCGACTTAAAATTTATTTTGTCTCGCGAAATTAAAATGCAATAAATCAATTGTAGAAAGTTAAAGATTAAATTTACAATCGGTAATATTATGTACAGTATATTCAATATTTATGATCCGACTATATTAATTACTATTTTAAAAGTGCTATTACAAGTTAACCTACTTTCAAAAATAAAAAAAATAAAAATAAAATTCCGTTATCAATCTCCGAATTTCAAAAAAAAACAAAAGGTTAAACCATTTTTGTCAAGTATTTGCAATATTTGGAACATTCTTTTATCTGGAAAAATGATTTGTTTTATACAAATTCAGAAAATGCGAGTGTTGTCATTTCAAATTATATGACCATTGTGTCTCAAATAATGGGATCATATTTGTAATTTCTAGGTGATTTCCAGTTTTAGGAAGAACTCGTTTTAATTCATTTATATTTTTATATATCGATATATATATCTACTACCATAAAGGGACATCACTAATTTCATTCGTTTTTTAAAATAGTTCAAGACTACAAAGAAAACATGAAACGGAAAAAAAAAAAAATCATTGTTTGATGAAACATTTAAATCATCATTTCAAAAAAAAAAAAAAAAAAAAAATGTCCGCGTCCGTTTCATGAAACGATTTAAATAACCTTAGCACGAACACGACATTATATTAATAGGAACCAAATGCAGGTTCATTGTCAATTTAAAATTTACCGTCACCATTAACACAATAGGTTATGCAAAATCCCTATGCAATCGGGATAACTTCGGCATCGTATATGGTTTCGAATTCATTTCTTGTCACCGTTATTGGTCGTAAATATAAGTGCTGCGCAACATTCCGCAGCATTATCTTTTTTTTTTTTTTCTCCCACCCCATCTTGTAATGTAAGGTTGATTGATATGGTATGATTGTGTCTATCAAATAAAGTTAAGATGAACAAAAACGGCTTCATTGTGAATTTTTTTTTTTTTTTTTTTCGGGGCTATAGACAATGACTATCTATAGAAATTCTCATAATTCGATTATTTCAAACTTATATGTCAAATAAAACCATAATTTTATTTTTTCCCTTTTTTTTTAAAAAAAAAGGAAATAAATAAATAGATATCTCTTATTTATATTTCTAACAAAAAAAAATAAAATAAATAAATAAATAAATAACGCAATGTACATAGAACCTGCGTTCGAGTGAATCTTGTACAACTCGTGTTATATAATAAACCAGGTATTTTATGATGCCATTCGACTTCTTTGATTACGGAAAAGTTAAATAGAGCCCGAACCATTGAATTTATTTTTAGTTCACCTTTTATTCTTACCACAATAACAACAATAATAAAAAAAAAAATTAAATTAAATTAAAATAAAAAAAAAAAAAAAATTAAAAAGATTTAAAAAACAATTATATTCATTTTTTTAACGTTTTTCGCCTTACCTTTTTTTTTTTTTTTTTTTTTTTTTTTTTTTTGCGATATACATATATATATAAATATATATACTGTATTTTTTATTTTATTTTTTTTTGAATGGTTAGGTGCGATATCATAATAAAATGGGTTTAATGAAAGTAATTTTACTACTATTGGTGTCATTCTTACATAATGTGTCCGCAGCAACCATCGATTCTGGGTCTATACAATCAATCACTTACGCGGATTCCATCACTCAATTTCGTATCATCTCGCAATCAAGTTATGATGATGGCACGATTTTATTAAGATTTTCCCCTATTTCTACGCATTGTAACGAACAAAAATTATATTTAAGGTTAATTCATTTAGATGGATCGATTAAAGAACTTAACATTGATGTTTTTCAAATTCCCTTGAGCAATTTTTGCTTGCTTGAAGATATTCACAGCAGAGTTGCGGACAAATCTTCTGTTCCACCATTAAACGACTTAACAACCACGAATCCCAACAACTTGATAGAAGATTATATAAAAGTTTACGCAATATCACCTGGATATATAATGGTCACGTATTATTGTGGATTATCATCGAATTTCAATTTATGTGGGATGACAATCAATTGGGATGGAACCATCCTAAAGTAAGAAATATAAAAAATATAAATATTTTTATAAAAGTTTTTACCTAATTTCTCACGCGTTCTCGTTTTGTTTAAATAGTGTCAAGGAATTAGAAGATGCATGCACGGATAGTGAGATCGTACGAAATATCAATTCAGGAGGATTCTTGTGGTTATGTCATAAGCAAGGGTTAAATCAATTGAATTGGCAAAAATTTAATATACAGTAAGTAAACGTTTAAGGTCATGTTTGTGAACATTCTTTACATTTACCTACCATCTCGTCAATCATTTCTTTACTTCTCTACGTAGTGATGATTCGGGATCTTTCGAGTCGGTGGGATCGGGAACCTTGATGAACGTAAATAAATTTACCCGAAACCTGACCCAAGTTTTCGCAACCGAAGATGGAGGTTACGGAATAGTGATGGCACAATATCAAGCAAAGTCTAATGTAGATTTTATCCCCCCATGGACCATTGACATCGCGTTCATCCCTTCGACATCCAATACCCTAAAAGGTCCGTTCCAAATTTATTCTCAAACAACGGAGAATGTTAGACGTTTAGATATATATAAATGTAATATAGCATATTATTCTTACGGATATAGTTGTATAATACATATCATAAGATCAAGTGGGCAGAAAGTTTTTGTAAATATAGACTTGTTATCTTCGGGTTCCATCTTAAATACGACGGAATTTACTATCGCCGATGAGGCCGTTGGTTCAACGGTCAATGTGTTCGTTTGGGATGTGTTGCCTTTATATTATGGCGGTTTAATTATATTAACCGACACTCCTTCAAACAATGATATCAATGGAATAATATACAGTAATCGAGGAACCTTTTATAGTGATTGGAACATGCCGTCTGGTCGATATCAATTCACTAAAAATGTTGGCGTGTTTCTGAACAATACGATTTGGGTCATCGCGAATGATGGGAACAAGTGGACGTTAGTTACTTCCTCATTATTCTCAAATTATAGCACGATCCAGGGAGGAAATTCCATGGTTCCAGGAGGTCCAGGAGGGTATGGAAATGCGTTTGTTGGATCGACCATTCCATCAATCAATTCAATCGTCACATTAATGTCCACCCAAAAATTACAAATTAAATACACGAATAACATACAATTATCAAATGGGAACCTATCTATAATTGACGCGAATAATAATGTTATAAGGCAAACCTTTAATAGTAAAAATAATGATCATATTAAGGAAATTTTCGTCCGATTAATCGATAATCGAACGGTGGAAATTGATGTGTTGGAAACCACTTTTAATAGGAAAAATTCACCGTATTATATCTTGGTTGATAATGGTTTCGTTAAAGATGCCAACTTTGATCAAGCACTATTGGGTATCAGAAAAAACATTTGGAGGTTGTCTACCAGTACGTAAAAAAAAAAAAAAAAAAAAAAAATTGAAAGAAATGATCCCGACTAAAAAAAATTTCTTTTCTTTTTTCATTTTAGATAATAATGGGTTGTATACGGATGAATCATTTCTCGGTTCTACAAGCGCAATGATAAGACTATCGTCCATGGGAACAAAATATTTTACGTCCCTATCAACCAAGGATCGACTTCAATTCTCAAAGGAATTATCTTACCAATTATCACTTGTAATTCCATGTGACGCGACTCGTATATCAACCACGAGTAAGTATCAACTTGACAAAGATTCATCGACACGTCGGATTTTGTTTCGAGTGTACGTTCAAAAGAGTAAGGGAGACGTTAGTTCATCGCAAATCGTCAAGGATCTAGATTTATTATTAAGAAAGAGAGACCATAACGCAATGTCAATGGCAAGGATCACGTCCCTTTTAGATGCGTCTTATGGTGCAAAATTAACACGTAAGTGAAGAGAGGATGGGTCTTTGCTTTATCGTAACGTGTGTTTTAATTGAGCAATTCTTCTTTTATGTAGCGGATTTGAAGAGATATAGTTACATAATCATAGGGGTGGCACTTGGATTCATAATACTATTCGTGCTATATTATATTGCGCGCAAGAAAGATCGCGATGCGAATAATAAAACAATATTTACGTTTACATTTATAATAATAGATTTCATATTAGATATTGCATTCATAATAAATCATGGAAATGATTTACACTGGATATCTCCAACAAGCATCGCGTTTATAGTAATACCGATATTATTAAACTGCTCATTCACATACATAATAATAAGTCGAGAAATTAAGGATCATAATAGATTTTCAAGATGGTGGATAAAAAACTCCAAAACGGCCCTAGTGTTCACCTCTATTTTTGCCGTTGCTGATTTAGAAGCATTAAATTTAATGTCCTCGAGATGCTCTGGTTTAATAGGATTGAGTGCCCCTTTAATGAAAAGAACCGAGCATTATATATTTATTTTCAACACGATCAGTATTTTAATCGAAGATTTTCCTCAATTATTAATCCTAGTGAGTATTGATTGTCGCTATCATAAAAAAAAAAAAAAAAAAAAAAAAAAATGTGTAACTGAATCATTTTTTCCTCTCTTCATAAATTTATCCAACAGATAATCTATCAAGCGTACACGATATTACCAAATATAATCCCAATATTAGCGTTATCTTCTTGCATATTAGTATTCTTAACAAAATTATATGGTTCGATATCTTATTACGTTCAATATTGTAAATCCAAAGTTCCACTACAATCGTTTGAGAAAAAACCCGATCGTTTAGATTCAACTCATTCATCTTTTAGGTTTAGTAAAAGAGAAGAATATTTGGACCCGTTACCAAATTTTGCTTCATTCTCTGAGGATTTCCTTAAAAAGAAACAGAAAAAGAGTTTCTTTAATAGCGGTCAAAATTCGAATGATAGTAAAAGAAATAGTAGTAGATTGAGCGGAAATAGTAGATATGCCAGTGATGCATTAAGAATCTTCTCTGGCGGGAATAGTAATAATAATAGTACCCTAAGTGATGGGTCCGATTTAGCCGAACAAATAATGGTTTTAAATAAGGATAATTTCTTGGGGAGAAATGAAATCACCGGGGAGCCAATCTTTTTATTAAGAGATCCCGAAGAATACAACTTTTTGCCGCAAAAAATCAAACAATTACCTTTTGGTAAATTGGTTGGTGATAGCATCGTTTCCGCTAATGATGATTACAGTAATGTTAGCAGTATTGGATTCGCTTCTATCGGTAAAAGTAGTAAAGGCAGTATTAGCACTGAAAGTTACAATAAGAGAATGTCCGACGCTGGGATTATTTGTAGTACCGACGAGATTTCAAAAGGTGATGATGTCATTGAAATTGCTACGGATCAGAAGAAGAGTATCATTGATCGTAATTCAAATACTACCACCATCAGCACCGCTCTTTCTACCAATTTAAGTACCGCTGCTTCTTCTTTAAAAACTAATGACACTTTGTTAGAAAATGTTGTAAATGAGGCAACGACTAAAGAAAATTCACCAAGGAACATTTCCACGAATTTAAGTCAAACACAACCCGGAAATACTTCACCTACGATTGAAATAACGGAAACGACCGACACCACTAATATTAATTAATAATGATATGATTTTAGTTTTTTGTATTTATACTTGTATTTCATAGCTTCTAAAAAAAAAATAATAATAATAATCATAATAATCATAATCAATAATATTCTGGTTAATATTATTGATAAAATTAAAATTAAATCCTTTCTTGCAAAAACATAATAGATTGACGAAAGAACATGTTTAAGGGGACTGGACATTTTTTTTTTTTTTAATTTTCAATATTTAGAGATTTAGAGGCGCAGTTCACGTCGTAAATCTGCGTTATTTCACATACACATAGTCCCACCTTCTTTAGTTTACTTCATTTTAGCTAGAATCCGTTAAACATATAAATAAGTCCGAGGCGAGTTATAGGAATAGATATACCATAAATAAAACTTGGCCGTGAATTCCTATATACCAAATAAATCGATTAACACCCATTTGATACACCACAAACATTCTGAACAAAATTTTGAAAAGATCAATCAAACAAACTTTTTTGCAAGTATGCACGAATAAACTGCAAAGCGAGTTTGCTTGCAATGTTTCTTTTTTTTTTTGCCAAAATTCTAGAAAAGTTATATTTTCAATTTGAGCAGGTACTATACGAACATATCTCGTACCATGGTTTCGGGGAAAAACTCATTTTTAGCAAATGGCAAAAGTCGGGATTTTCCCCGCGATATTATTTCGAGCAAAGATGTATCACACGCTTTCTACGATTCTAAGTTCGCTTTCTTCCTTTTTCGGGAAAGTCCCTATCAGTAAAAATGAAATTGCAATACCCTTCGTTTCGCCAGAAAGGTTATCAAAGTGGGTATGTATGCACATATTTTTCGATATTTTGTTCCAAAAAAAAAAAATTATCATTCATCTTTGGTGTATTCTTTATAATTGTATAATTGAGCGACGTCAATCAAAGGTTCTAGAATTGTTATTATTACTCATAGATTCATTCCTTTTGTATGTTGAGTTATTGTTGACCTTTCTATTAATTACTAAACCGTACAAAAAAGTAAAATGAATTTTAGATTCGCAAAACCATGATTTGTTGAAATAATACATTGTTAACTAAAACAAGAATAAAAAACGGAAAATCACCGAAATTAATTGATTTAGGGTAATAAATTTTGATCAATTTGCTGAAGTTATGGTTCGGAATCAAACGTATGTGGCGTTCCAATTTTTGACCGTTTTCAAAGTCACCTATTATTCATTACTCTTATATTTAGAAGTCGAACGGGAACGGGGACTCAAAATGATATATTGGGGGGTTATTTTTTTGCGGGGTGATTGAGGCTTTGAAGATCACATTGACATAGCCACAATATATAAAATAAAATAAAAACCTTCGTTTTTTTTTTTTCAACCAGAAATTTCATTTATTCTTTTTTCACTCTTGATACGAAAATGTATCATTTAAAGTTTTTTGTTGATACAATTTTATTCCTCTCCATATCAACTTCATCGTTTGGTCAAGAAATCGATGATGATGAAATTCATGATACCGAAGAACCTCTCACAGCGTCATATGATCTCAACGTGTCACATCCTTTATCTAATTCTGTGATAGTATTGATAATATTATTAATCATATTCGTTATAATGTTAATCGGATGTATTTATATTGTAAGATATAAATCTTATTGGTTTACAAGGTTTTCCCCTCTTCCTACGCAACCGAAAAACGTTGATCAACATAATTTACCGATAATGGAAAAATCTCGAGTTTTAGAGTCAAATCACAACAATACCAACACTAGTTTCGAAGATAGCTTTCTGGATGATACGTCAAAGAATTCCTTTAATTCGACTCGATTACACGCCAGAATTTCAATGGATCATCGTAACAACGAGGAGGCCGCTTCTTTGGTCGTCAATCAACCTTCAACCACTTCCTTACCACCATCAGATTACACAAAGTGAACGGGTCGGAGGTGTTCATAAGATTTTAAACCTTAATTTCATCATGTGTATATTTATATATATTTCTTTCTTTTATTTATTAAATAAAGTTTTCAATAACTTTTTGATACGTGTAATGTGTATGTAATGTGCATGTATGTGTGTCATAGAAATTCTCTCACGATTGGTAACCTCTAAAGGGTAGTATAATAGGTTGATCATCTTTCTTATTGTTCCTTTTTTTTTTTTTTTAATAAATTTTCTTTTTTTCTTCCTTTTTTCTTTTTTACCTTTGATAATAAACGCAACTTTTAATAACCATTTTTCTTCGAGAATCATGCCTAACGAAGGATCGACCTTTGAATTTGGACGTTCAATGCGCTCACATTTTCTTTTGGATGATGATTACATACCGCTTAATCATGGATCATACGGAACCTACCCTAAAGTTGTTAGGGAAGCTTTGCAAGGATATCGAGATAGGATTGAATCTAATCCAGATAAATTTATTCGTAGGGATTTAGAATCGGAATTACACAAAGCTAGGGAGGCCGTTGCGAAATTCATTAACGTTGAAGTAAATGAAATAGTTTTCGTGCTGAATGCTACGACCGGTATCAATGCGATTTTAAAAAGTTTGAAATATGAGAAAGGTGATAAATTACTTTACCTATCAACGGTTTACAGTTCCATAAGGGAATTATTAAATTTCATTCGGGAGAACAATCAGGAAACTGTTGAATTGGTTGAAATTGAAGCGAATTATCCTTTGTCTGATGATGACTTGATTGATAGATTCGTTAAGGTTATTCAAGAGGAAAATCAAAAACCAAATACGAGGATTAAATTGGCCGTAATCGATTCCATATCTTCTCAACCTGGTTTGTTGATCAAAAAAAAAAAGATCTTGATAAATGAACAAAAGCATCGTAGAATGATGATAAAAAAAAAAAAAAAAAATTTTTTTTTTTTTAATAGGTGTTATCTTTCCTTTACAACGTTTGATTCCAATCTTGAGACAAAATGATATCCTTTCTATCGTTGACGGAGCTCATGCGATCGGTCAAATTCCTTTGGACATTAAAGAGATGAATCCAGATTTCTTTGTGACCAATTGTCATAAATGGTTATATACCGCCAGGAGTTCGGCAATTTTATATGTTCCTTATAAACATCAGAAAAAAGTTCATCCTGCAGTTACCAGTCCATTTACAATTTATGGATTTATCCCCGAATTTTCTTGGACTGGAACTCAAGATTTCAGGCAAGTGAGATTTTTATTACATATCATTTTTTTTTTATTATTATTATTTTTATTTTTAATGATCGCTTAGAAAGGATGATTTTTTTTTCCTCTTTAGTCCCTACTTGACGATTCACGCCGCTTTGGAATTTCGAGAGAAAATTGGTGGTGAAGAAAAGATACGTAATTATTGTAAAAAATTGGCCATTGAAGGAGGAAACAAGATTGCTTCTATCCTTGGTACGGAAATAATTGGACCGGAAAGTGTTATACAAAACATGGTTAACATTCGTTTACCAATTCCTGTATCAAATAAAGAATTTTCGGATAGGAAATTCATGAATTTAATGTTTAATAATTATAATTTTGCCGTCGCGATATTTGAACATAATGGTCATTGGTATATCAGAGCTAGCGCACAAATCTACACGGACATGGAAGACTTTGAAAAAGTTGGTCATTTCGTGAAAGAGATTTGCGATTCTTTTTTAAGTGCGTGAATAAAAAAAAAAAATTCCATTTAACAATTGTGTTCTGATTAAATTTAGGTATCAAAACTTTTATTATATTTCCAAAATATATTATTACATTAATTAGATGATGGTTTTTTTAGTTTTTTTTTTTTAAAAAAATAAAATAATTGTAAGGATAAACAAAAAAAATAATTATTATTAATTTCTTTTTTTTTTTTTAATATTCAAAGAAATCGACATTAAAAACTCTCTTTAAAAAATCGCCAATGAAAAATTTATAATCGTAGGAAGTTATAATTTCAACATTGGTCGCATAAAGGTAACCCCAAATGCCAAAATCTCTCTCCAAAGTTTCCAAATTCAATGAAGGAGGTTTCGGTCTACTATCAACTATGGTCATTCCTCTTGTATAGATCCCTTGAGTTTCAATCTTCATGTCAACAAATTCCGAGGTGTATACCAGAGATTTATTTGTTAAGATGTCGATCGCAAATGCGACCGCGACCGGGTCATGCATTTCCAGACTATAAATTCCATAATAATTTCGCATCTTGTTAAACGCGTAATCCATAAATGCGGTCACAAAGACGCTGAGAGGTGTATTTAAAGACGTAACGTGATTTGTAAAAACCTTGCTTGATAACAGAAATGAGCATGATACTTTTTTTTTTATTTTTTTTTTAAAAAAAAAAAAAGGAAATACAATTAAAAAGATGTCAAAAAAAAATATTATATCACATATATAAATGTATACCATTTATGGGTAACACGGTTAAATGTAATGGCACATGGTCCCTGTGATGCAACATTTCGATCTTATTTTGGATGGTTACCGATGGAGAGAAACCTTTGGTAGCTTCGGTAAGAATACATGCGGCATCGGGATCCGCGTAAATGTTAAACTCCGCGCAAGGAGTCGTGTTACCGGGAGAATTAATGGCACCTCCTAAACAAATGATCTGTTTAACGCGAGAGAATGTACGTTTATCCTTTTCATAGGCCAAGGCAAGATTCGTCAAAGGTCCCAAAGCGATGATCGTAATCGTGAATGGAGGTGAATTCTTTAATTGGATTAAGATTTCATCGATCGCATCTCGAGACGACATCTCGTATCTATTCGATTTTAAATTCTTCAGATCCTTTGGCGTGTAATGGGGGTGCTTTTTATAAAAATAAAAAAAGTTAAAAAGATTGTTGTAAATAATTTTATCATGATGAGTTGATTAAATTACCGTGGTATGTATTTGTCCAAATCCATCGATGCCATGAAAATCAACCGCAAGATGTTCCGTAGCTTTCATGGGTTTATCCGCTCCTTTAATTTGATACAGAAATAATTAGATGGATAAAAAAGAAAAAGGTTGAATGAAAAACGAATTTCACGAACCTATCGCGACCACGGG